TAAAAATATTGGCAGGTATATCTAATCAAACTGTGATGATATAGAAGAAAAATTAATGATGCAATAATAGGCAAATAAGTTTGTGTTTAACAGTCTAAAACTATGTTATGCAGAAAATAATGAAATCATAAACTCTTTCCTTTTTTTCTCTTCAGACAAAGCATATAAACTTAAGTATAGAAAATAATGTAGGATTGAAAAAGTTCTTAATTCTATGTAATTTCAAAATCTTTTTTGTATTTATATCAGTTTTAACCTGAGTTTTAATACTCAGTGAATGTGAAATTTCATTTCATTATATTTATAGATTGACTTTAGTCCAAGCAAGTACATTTCTTTTTTGTGGAATAAAAACTTTCTGCATAGAAAAATCAGAAACACTGAGCCTAAATTCAATGTTAATGTTTTAGATTACATTACACACTTTGAAGGAACATTTTTATATTTCTTGTTTCCACACTATTCTCAATAAACATAACTGTTGGTTTTAAAGCAAATGTATTAAAAAAAAAAAAAAGAAAAAGGTAGTCATCTGTTGTGATATAGAGACATTTTGCTATCAAATACCTAATTCTGAAGAATCTGCTCTTTATCTTTTCTGGTCTTTGAATGATTGATGTTTTCTTCCATTAACATTCAGAACCAATGGATTGAATGAGATCCTCTTCAATCTTCTTTCCTGACTTACTGGCACTTTATATCATAACAATTGTTTCTAATTAACTTGTAATAAAATCTCTTAAAGTTACACTTTTCCATAGTGCACTCTTCTATACTTAGCATCAGAATCAAGATGTGTTTCCTCTTCCTTTTTCTTTTATGGTCTGTTGTTCATGTTTTCTGCAACAGCAGTAAAATTTACTCAATTCCTTTTTGTCTTTGAACTTTAACTTGTGTTCTGTTTACTTTAATACCTTTTTATTTTTCACTTCTGTATACTCATTAATTCACCTGTGTGCAGTCTGAAACTTTATTCCTGACACCACTGGTGGAGTCAGTGACCCCTACTACCTGAAGGCGTCATGCTTGTACTTCCAGTTCAGTGCTTTGATACCAATCTGTTTCCATATCACGAAAGAAAAGAACAGTGACTTACTTAAGTGACGTATCCAGGTTGCTGCCAGCAAATCCATACTGAGCCCTAACACAATCCTTGCATCAGATACCATGAAGATCTATCTGTTCACCAGTTCATTTTCTTTATCTGCTTATATGATGCCAACTCTTTAGTGTGCTTTCCAACACAATTTTACTTTTTTTTATTTTCAGGAGCTATTGAAGGGAATTATCAAAACCTTGATATTCATCTCATATTGGTTCAAGGCTTAGGAACTTCCCAGTCTGCTGCATTTCTTTTGAATTCAACTATACATAAAGTACATGCACTTAATAGTAGATGCAGTGCCGTATTCTGACCTTTCAAAATGAAACCAGAAAATGTCCAGTTGCTTTCTAAATATCTTGACTATTGCTTTTCTCCCACTGAACATCTATGATCATGACAGATCACAAAATTTAAGTTGAGGCAAAATTCCAGTCAGAGACAAAGCTCTCCCCCATCCTTGATTCTTTCGATAAGAAAAACTTATTTGTCTCCTATCCATGACCTGGACAAAAAATTACTTAATTGTTAAGCAACACTCTAAAGGTACATTTCTATTCAGCAGGGCAGGAACACATTTCAAAATATTGATAGACACAAGACAGATACTCAAGTCTTAGGTTCTGAAAGACAGCTTGTCCCTCCAGTTCAAAGTTTCTTTAAATGTAGCTATCGACAGACCTGATGGTGAAGTATATGCAAAAATCTCTGGAGTTTCATTGAAACCTTCAGAAAAAGAATTCTAGAACAGACACTTCTTGACTTTCAAAGAAGTTAGACTCCACAAAGGAAAAGACTCTCCCCTGTAATCAGTGTTTCTTGATTGCAAATAAAGATGGGACTAAAACTGAGTAATGACTTGTGAGATCTGTTTAAATCTTCCTTTAACAGTAATAAATTTAATACACTACTATTTAGCCAGAGCCATCTATGGTTCTTTTATAGATGTTTTGATCACAGATTGAGTCCTGAAAATTCTGTCAGTAGTAGCAAGCAGATCATCGGATTGCACATGCGTTTCTGATTCTCGTTTTTACAATTTGGAGGTAGACACCTTCATCGGGAAGAGCCCAACTAGATGTTAATTTTTTTCTTTTACAACTGAAAAACCAGTGTCACCACATACCCTGTAAAACAGACTGTTTCCTGCCTTGCAACTGGTCTCTGCCTTACCAGTTCAGACCTCTAGACTGCTAAGCCCTCTGATTTCTCCAAGATTATTGCCTTTATTTCATTTCCAGGACTCTAAAGAAGGTTCAAGTGGGATAAAATGAAATTTTTCTAATACTTCAAAATTTTGCTTTTTTTTTTTTTTTTTTCCCCACATCTTCTGCACCAATGTAATCATGGCTAAAGGGTACATCAAAGTAAAATAATCTTAGAACATTCAGATCTTATTCTATGGCCACAGATTCTTTTCACTGTCAATAAAATTTAGTTCATGTGCCAAAAACTAACTGTGGAGAAGACAAGAATATTTCATACACAGGAAAGATTGTCTATGAAGAAAAATATTTTCCGGCTTTGGCTCACATGAAGAATTGTATACTATTGTATAGTATTACATACCATTTATTTTGGAACACTTGGAATGTTAAAGAAGACAGGTCTGTGCTTATATTTGCCTATATTATTTTAGTAGCTTTATTATTTTAGTAGCATTTTGTTCATTATTATTTTATCAGCGTTTATTATTTGTATAACTCAATATCCAAGTAATTTTTTCCCCAACATTTAGTGCATATCTGGATTTATTCCCCATATTAGTTCTCCATTTGAGTCCTTATAAGAATTAAACTTGGTTTTCTTACCAAACTGTTGGAATTGTCATTTGAAGTACTGTGTTATCAGTGAAAGGCTACTTGTAGTTACTGTTACCTTAGTTTGCAGATAGGAAAACCGCAATTTGTCAGAAAACATTTAACATCATATTCTATTGAAAAAATAATTAATTTGTTATGAATGGTCTTTAGTAAATTATTAAAAAATATGATCTCTCACTTCTCTCTGTTCAGTCTGTGTCTATAATTAAACATGCATTTTCTAAAATTCTGCCCAAACATAATAAAAAAATTCATGCCATTAATGTAAAAAGATATTGTCTTTCAGACGAAGAGTTAGTTTCAGCAACTCTGGACTATGTGGATTTTCTTTCCTTTGGCTGAGGATACAGGGAAAGACCTGTTTCAGCTCAGAGATCATCAAAATCTGTATTAGATCAGCATGTAATATCAACAACATAAATCCTCTGACTCGTGTTAGAGCTTGTTCAAGCAGGGCTCAACTGTTTGCACTGTGTACCTTAAAAGGGTTGCAGTTGTAGAGATTTACTGAGCAGCTATGTGATCCTTGGTGCATAAATTACCAAATATCAAATGCTGGGTGCAGCATCAACAGAAGACCAGAAGTAAGGAGGGTGAATCACTGATTATATCAGCTCAAATTCTGTTGTATCTTCTGCGACTTGTAGAGCCCAAACTATTTTCTGGTAAGCGTTGGTTGCATCAATCAACCCTCAGTCAGGGAAAAAAACCCAATACCTCATGCTTGCTTTACAAGAACTTTCTTTGCCAAAGTTGGTAGAGTTGTCAACTCTATTACAATCTCATGGCATTTGCTATCACCATGTCTCTTATGCCCTGATAAGGAACACATATGATGTGTAACAGACACTACTAGAAAAACTTTGCTAAGCTACTCCAGGGAAGGTCTGAGGAGTTTGAGGGGCAGATGTACATTAACACAGTAAATTTAAGATAAGTTATTTCTTATTTTGGTGTTCATGTTATGAACAGAATAGTTTATGCCTAAAAGAAACCATCATTCTTGCTTGGGGAAACCAATTTCATTCCTCACAACATCAAGTTTAAGTAGTATAGCCAATTAATATAGATCCTTTAATAATTAGTTTATTGTGCTGATGCACTTGATTGTCAAAATCAATTGTTCTTATCTTTCAAATAAAACACTGCTGTCAGAGTGACCATTTGAAATGACAATTGGCCCTGTAAACCACAGGGATTTATATCATGTTTATGGGTATATCATTATGTGGACAAAACCATTGATCTTAAGATTTGTCTCTACAATTCTTTACATAGAACCATAAAAAAAATCTTGGATCACTTGCAACACAAAGTGATTGGATTTTCTGCTAGAAATTGTATGTGCCTTTTAAATCTCTGTAAGTTTTTGATATTCACAAGAATCTTTACACCTTAACTACACGTAGTGTAAAGAAATATCCTCTTTTATTTGTTTTCAACATGGCCTTTGCAAGTCTCATTTCGTTTCTCTACACTGCAACTGAAGTTTCATTTCAGAGAAGACCCACCAAGTAATTCCCCTGAATTACAGGGTGTTTTCCTTGGAAAAAAAAAAGAAAAAAAAAAAAAAAGGTAGCTTCATTTGAAAATAGAAATGTAGAAAAATTCTTCTTATATTTTGAATGTAATTTCCGGAATGTTTGAAGAGGTCAAATGTACCAGTCTTATGTACCTGAAGTCTGATCAAGTTTTGCTGAGGAGAAAAAGAAGAAGCACATGTGTTGTGGTGCTTTTTATTAGTTCACAAGTCTACAAATTCAGAAGTTTTAGTTCCAGAGATAAAACAAAAAAACAAATGTCCTTATCATCTACTTGAATATCTTACAACCAGTTTTGACATTCATATCCCTGTATTCCTACAACAGCAGAAATAGGTGTAGTGTATATTCTGACATGCCAAGTTTGGTCACAGTTTAATCAGTTCATCTTTTTCGTAAAGAAAGAATGCTCCTTAAGACTTTTTTTTCTGCTTATGTTCTGGGAAATCCTCTGTAGAAATGCCAATGAGTGACAGTCAGGTACTTAAAGGACATGTGCTTTTTACTTTCTGAACTTCAGCTCATCTTTTATAGGAGTGATTTAGAGGAAAAGAACCATTTCACTTTATCTGTCTCAGCTGACAGAAGCTATGGAATGAAGCAATTTTGGGGACTAGACAACAAGTATAACTGGGTATATTTGGAGAAGGCTATTGTCTTCTTTGGTATTTTGTTATTCATTCTGAAAATGTCTGGACCATTTTAAATCATACAAAATAGTAGTACTTCACTGGTTTTGTGGTAAGGTATTGGTGAAAAAAACTGTATTGATGTTCATAGTCTACATGCAAACTTTTCTGTCATTTTCCTGTATTCCTTATATATGTGAAAGTACTGTGATGTTGAAAACATTACGTTTGCTGGTATTAAATGCAAACACATTAACATCAGGAATTCTGCATTTGCTGAGGAACCCTGAAAAACAGGTTTTACAGCTGCCCTAAAATTAATCAAGAAGATAATCACACCTTACTCCCTAAATTATCCATCTTTCTTTTTATTATTTTGAGATTTCTGATAGACATGTAGCATTATAAAATTTTAATGATGTAGAAATTGACAGTTCTATATAGGAAGAATTTTTAGATTTAGTTGAATAACATGACTAGCTTCTAGACAAAGTTTTTAAAAATTCTGTATAAATACAGAAACAAAAGTTAATATCCCTTTGATTAAAGCACAGTAAAAGCTGTAAAATCATTGTAATATTCTAACTGTCTTGGGAACTCCCAAAATTCATTAAGTTCCAAGGGAAGACCAGGGACTTGTTCAGGCATGCTGCTATTTCCCTTGGATAGTTTTGTCTTTAAAAGGTGAAACACTAAATTACCCACTTGGGAGAAGGTTTAGAAAACATATGATTCTTTAATATTATGCACTCGGAACCCAGAAGGACTCAGACTTTATTAGTCCACTAATTCACATGGTTTCTTTCAGAGACATGGGAGATACTAAAGCATAGTCTGAATTTTACCAAATTTCCCTAGACCTCCTGGGTTCTAGAAAAACTTGTAGCTGATATGTTTATTGTTAAAGAAGTCTTCCCAACATGTATTTAAGTTTCCTTTCCAAAGACAGCTTGACTATCAGCAGTACGGTCTTTTTTTTAGGATTTTAAGAAAATGGTAGTTTGAATATGGGAAAATTAATCTGAACTCCTTTATGCTCAAAACATATTTTTTTCTGCCTCAGACACGCATCTTTTAACTTAAACCATTTCCTGTTTAAGGGTAGAAGAGCAGCAGATAGGTAAACAGAGAACGCGTAATATTCTTCTGTCAAAAATAAACCCAAAATTATTTACAATTCCTTTCTCTGGATTTTGGTGAGACAGGTGGCTGCCCCCCCAACGCCTGTGGTAGCATTTCACTCACTCACTCATGTTTCAGATTGTCGAACCAGAGGGCTGCCCTTGCTCCTGCTGGGCCGGCAGGCGCCATCCAGGGAGCAGACGATGGTGACATTTGCTCCAACCGCTCTAGCGGTTCTGCTAGCCCTGCTTTTCTGCAAGGGTACACATGGTTCTGCAAGGGGAATCACATAGAGCTCTCTTTTATAAAATAGACTCTTAAGCAGATTCCTCTGCCTTTAAAAGCTTTTAGACTCTGACTTTTGCATTAGAAGACTTCAAAATATTACCTTAGATTAGGGCAGCCACTCAGGCCCTGGACATTTGGGCTTAATTAGTTGTCCCAGGCCCTACACACTCTCATAATTGTAAACTCTCCTTCACTCCACCTTATAATGTGCAGGTGCTTTTAACAAAAATACCTCCCAAATACAACTGGCAACAACATACACAAATTGAATAAGTTTCAGGCTTGCTTGACAGTGGGGTTTTGTGCTTCTCTCTGCTGGGTAGCCCTCATCACTGGCCATGGTGTTTTAAATATGTATTTTAAAGGTGTACATTTAAAATATATTTGAAGAAAGATTTTGAAATATGGAAATCAGCCATCCTGTTGTTTTATAGTGATGAAATTAGAAGAAGTTCTGAATGTCAAATATTGAAATGACAATATTCAACTAATTTATGGGTAAAAGTCTACTGGGCTCCCTTTCTCCTAAGGGGTTTTTAATGGAAAAATAATGAAAATTAAAATAGAATTCTGTGCAAAAAAATCAATTCAAAAATAAGTTAAATTATATAGTGTCCTTCTAACCTAGATCAAATCCCTTAGAAAATTCTGTGACGGTTGCAATATTATGCAATCAGAGAACGTTCAATCAAAATCAGATTTAAAGGAATGGAAATTTTTCTTACTACAGAAGCATACATTCAAAACAACTTCAGCTTCACCTGGTATCAGATTATGAGAGTCAAACAATATATTAGTCTTTAAAAGCAAGTTAATCCAATTGGAAATATTAAAATTATTAAGAAAACACGTGAGTGTTGCATTGTTTCAGCTTTACAAATTGTTAAATAAGAGTTAGGAGAAGTATGAATGAATTTGATGTATTCTCTGGCAATTAAGACAATATAATTTCTATGCAGAACAGTCTTCTGTAGTAAGTTAGAGGATGTGTTCTATTTGGTAGTTTCTACTGTAACTATTTACATAATTGTTTTCTGTTCAAGTCATTTATTAACAATATTTACTTTACTATAAATTCATTCAACAAAATCCTAGCCACCCAAAATTCGTTTACAGTTTTTCCACTTGTTTCATTGGAACCATAATCTTGTCATCTATCTTTTGGAGAAGTTCATAAGAGAATGAGTCAGGAAAATTGTAGAAGTGACCAATCATTTCATTCTTTAGAAAGGTGTTTGGCAGTAAGTGTAATCATTTACTTATCTGCTTAGGCTTCTCTGGATCAAATAATTAAAGAAAATCTGTGGTTATTTCAGGAATATAAAATCTTTCATAACTACTACCTAAACAGTAAAGATCTCACAGAACTCTACGACAATAGTATCAGGTTGGAAGCTGCTGCTAGTGACCATCAGCAGATAAGTGTTAATATTGTTCATTCAATTAATTGATCTCACCTCTAAAATTCAATGGATGCAGCATTTTAATAACATTAGAATACTTGCAGTAATACCTATCACCGGAATTCTCCTTTTCTTCTTGGATATTTTACACTTTCATATTTTCATCTTTTGCTTACTTGCTGTGGGGTATTTTATTATTTTTACAGAGTAGTTCATTTAAGGTTCTCAAAATACATTATTCATAAATTCCACTTTTGCATCTGAAATGTATTTATTTTTGTATATAAATACTTAATGCAGTAATTAAAATTTACTTTACTGTTACATAATTGTGAGTTTTAAGACATTTATAGTCAGACTCCTAAGCCTTTAATTCAAAAAACAGTCAAGTGAAAATCAGAAAAGGTAAAATCTATGACAATGAACTTGTATGTGTTTTATTGACTCATTAGATACAACTTGAGATATTTTATTTTTTTAGTTTAACAGTGTTATGAAACCTGAGTCAAGTGATATTTTAGAACATCATTGTGGTAATGACAGAAAAAATGTTTCCTATTTCTTTTCCTTGTGTTTATGCATAGCTCTCAAAAAAAAGCTTATCAGTACCAATTGTAATCCATTAAATATATGGTTCAGGTGTTTTAGGTTATTCCTTGATTACCTTCAATGTCTGCATTTCGGAAAATAATATACATTTAAGTTATCATCAGACCTTACCTTCATATCAGCAATTTCAGGTAAGCATCTTTATTAACTCAGATCATACACAGGAACCAGGTCCTGATATATTGGTATTTTAGTCCATTTTCTAGATGTACAGTGTAGAAGTGTTCAAAAAAACACATTAGATGTAAAATTCAGATTATTTGCTAGTACTTTACTCTTAGCAGTCCATTTTATGTCTTATATCTGTAACTTCATCCATTGCTCTTTTTTTCATAATACTACCATTAATTTTGCATTTCAAAATTTCAGTTTGCTCCTGACAAATATAAATAAGAAAATCCCTTCCAAGATGTTCTCTTCAACTATAGAGGTCTTCTGTATTTCAGAACAAAGCTCTCTTAAGTCACGTGTTCTTAGGCATAACCATATTTGCAGGAGAAGTTGGAGATTTAAAACATAAAAACTAAAAAAAAATTATTGCCTATCTTTCTTCACCAAGTGAGTGTAAATTATGGTCTATTGATACAATAGCAGAGGCAATGCTATAAGTATTGAAATGTTTTCTTAAAGGGACTGTATTATATCAGGAATATAAAGTATTTTTTTCTGAATGAAGAATTAGGGCACACTCCCTTTCAGCTTCTCCACAGAGAAATGTATCTGTATAAGTTTATCAACTGGACCTTTTATTTCTTTGGATGTAAGAGTATCTGTTTTCCACATTCTCAGAATTTAATAGTTCTTGGTAATATCTGCAAAAAAGATTTTCCACTCAATAGTTTTCCTCTTCTGGACATAGTATGGATGATATTATCATGCATCTCAATGATGTAGTCTGGAAGCAAAAGAAAATTGCAAATGAGCTGGCATATATTATTGCTTTTTTCCTTCTCAATTTGAATACAATAAAATAAACATAGTAAAATACAGCAAAATAGCAATGCAATACCAACAGGATCTAGTTTCATTAGAAATGCTATATAATAATTTCTTTTCTTTTTAAAATCTTGTTTATGAAGAAAATAGTTATGAAGGTGTTGCTATTCTATTGGAGCTTATGATCAGTATTACAGTACACATACCAAGCTTGAGGTAAGAATTAGTGATGGCAATGTTTTGAACTTTGAACAGTCCTCTGTGCCATTCAGCAGTGGTATGTGTATGAAGAATAGAAGTTCTACTCACAATACTATTTTAAGGATTACAGAGTCAATCTAATTTCCTTTTTGATAACTCTTCATTTTGTTAAACAAATAACTAGTCCAACTACTAAAATATTCCTGCCACTCTCACGTAAAGAAAGTATTTAGGAATTATGACAAAAGGAAAAAGCACGTTGATTATTTACACTACCTATGAAAAGACACATATTCTTCTCAGATTTTTGCTAATAAGTGAATTACAGCAGCAACAGAAAGTCAGTTCTGGAGAAGTGTCAAAGTAATGATTTTTCTTGGTGCTCTGCTATATACGTACACTTGTACAATGACAGGAACATCCAAGAAGGAAGTGGGTTTATCCTTAATTCCTAAGAATTTCCTTTCCTATGTATATAATTATTCAAAATTAGAAGCCAATTTTTACCAATACAAATGTAAAAGCAAATTGCCTTTTTTATTCCTATTTTTTAAGTATTATTTTTCTTCATTTTAACTGGGAACACCCACAAAGTGTTCAGGGCCAGGCTGGGTGGGGCTTTGAAAGTGTCCCTTCCAACCCAAGCCATTCTGTGATACTATGATTCTAATGTTTAATTTGATCAAATATCAGTGTAGTCAAATATCACTCTGAACAAGAAAAATATTTCTCTATAGTTCTTTGTCTTGAAATACTCTTATTATCAATTTGTTTTTCTTAGTGGTTTACTCTCTGAAACAACACTTCCCTCCACAAAGACATTCTTCATATATCCTTTGTACCTTCCACTGATCAATGGGATGTCTGTCATGTTGAAAGTGCTAGCTTCATTATCAGATGAATCACACATTTCCATTTTTTCTAGATGACTTTGGAATAAACTCTAATAGGTCTTGATAATATCTTTAAATTCATCCTATTTAGTACCTAATATTTTCCCTAAATATTTGGGTTTGAGAGTTGCGGTGGGTTTTGTTCGGTGGTTTTTGTTTGTTTGTTTTTCAGTGCTGATAGGTTATTAGTTTGTACCTGTGTATTTTGGTGTGGCAAAAATCTTCTGTGTAAGAGATTTGTAGATTGATCATTTTGTGGAAGACAGCAACAAACTCTTGCTGAATATAACTTCTTCCCTGCAAATATATAGCAGCAGTTTCTTCTGGAAATTTTAATGCACTAACATATTCACACCGGGATTATGCTTGTGCTTTAAAAACAAATCCAGTTATTTACCATATCTTCCTTTTTGTGCTGAATAAGCTTAGACTATCTAATCGATGAGCAAAATTTGATACTTCTGATGTGTTGTGCTAATGTGTCAGTGCTTGTACTGTAGAAAACAGCTTTTGTTCTTATAGATAAATTAAGGAAGATTCCTAAATATAAAAGTATGGTATGTCATTATAAGTTAAGAACTTGTATCTGTTCTTAATATTGCAAGAAACGTTGTCTTACAAAACACTGATAATCTATTTTTTTCACATAACTTTTATTTAAAGACTATAATGAAAACTATAATTGCTTTAAAACATAAGTAAAATATTCATTCTTGTATTCATTGTTATCTTCAGGTGCCCATGTTACAGTAATATTTTGGAGGAAGGAGCTCTATTGATTCCTGTTTCTTTTCCCTTTTTTTTTTTTACTTTCTGGATAACTGACATATTATTGCAGTAAAACATATGTAGGGTCAATTCATGCTGAATAGTTATTAGAAACCATGATAACAAAAGTCATTACACTGCAGTTCAGTTTTGACAGTAAAATTTCTGCAACATTATCACAAATCCTCATGCATTAGTGCAATGATCCTTACTATAGTTTCGTATTAGAATCAAAAGACTGCTGTAGCATGCTTGATACAAAAAGTCCTGCAAGTCAAGTGAAGTTCTTTTATGCTTTTACAGATAACATATTTTCATGTCTTTCTCATGCACATATCTGAGTCTGAGCCCTCCTGGATATTTCTGTCTTTAGTGTATTTCTCACCTGGGATATGACTGTTTTAAAATAATATCCGTGTTGTTTAGAAAGGCCAAATAGAACACAAAGTAGAGCCAAAAATAGTCAGGTTTCAGGTTAGGCAATGAATTCCTTCTGATTTTGTTGTATCCGTTCACTGACCTAATGGGAAAAAAAAAATTAGTTTTCTCATATAATCAAAAAAATAATTTCTATCTCTAAATTGTGGTTTTAGTTCACTTATCTGGAGATCTTGGTTTGCTTCATGTCATCACAGTACTAATAAGGAAAGCATGGATAAGATTTTGGTAAAAAATGTCCTACTCATTCCCAGTTCTTTACAAATCTTAAAGGAAAAATAAAACTCTCAAGGATTCAATGTGAAAAAAACAGAAAATTATTATAATTTTATCTATTTCTAAATTAAATTTTAAACCAGATTTCAGAAATGTTTTGATTAGGAACAGAAATGGGTAATTTAGCTGAAATTTGGTATTTGGCAGTATACCAAGACTAGATAGTAGCCACTAAGCAAAAATACATAATGTACAGGTTTTTTAACTGAAGTTCTCTCTGCATTTAGAGTTTTGATACTATAATACATTGACAGAATAACCAGTTTTATATGAAAACATGAGGGAAAAAGGCATATCTTCAATAAGTTTTTCATTACGTAAATTTACTAAACCTTCTTAGAGCTGATTATATTTAAACAATGTAAACATAAAGTTGATGCTAGGATTAAATTTGTATCAATAACTTAATAAATTCAAATGACTCAATCAGAAATTAATGCAACAGGCTACCAAACCAAATTATTATTTTGATAGAAAAAGGATGTTATCAAGCTAATTTGTGGAGAAGTCAGTCTCCTTTCCAGATGCATCAGACACATCAGTGGGTAATCAGGTCACCGTTTTGATGCATAGGACAACATTTCTGCATCACAAAAAGCAGTGAAATCTGTAGGACCTCAGTGTTAATTCAATCCTACTGTCACCCAGAAGAAGGTGTCCCATTACAGCAAGTGAAATCTCTTTGTTTTGGTTTGCTGGTTTATTTTTATTTGGTAAAACAAATGTAGATATTTGATAATTTGGTTAGGTATTTAATTTTAAAATTGAATGTTCTCTAATGCCTGGAGAGTAAAGATGATGGAAAATTACCTTTTTTTTTTTTTTTCCTCCATAGTCATAGTTATTTTAAGAACACTTGACCCTTTTGTACTTTAGGGCCACCTGTGGTATTAAGACAAA